AGGGAAAGGGGTGGGACAGTGGGCGGGGCGGGCCCAAAAGCCAGCCAGCCACAGGTAGAAAAGTCAGATCCAGACCCAGTCCCAGTCGACCCAACACGGCGCGAAGTCACCACTACACCAAATAAGCCATCAAAAGGCCACATTGACTTCAACTGGAAAATGCTTCTCTTTCTGCCAGTCTTGCTGGCGGCCATCCTGTTGCTGTACTGCTGTTGGAGATTTTGCTGCAAGAAGGTTAAGCCTCCTGCTTTCCCCACCCCCCACACACACCCTGGCTCCCACACACATGCCCTCTCTCCTAGGAATAGTGTCATAAGGCAGTACTATAATCCATCCTGCTGGCAATTTCCCATCTGTTCCAAGGTCCTAACATCATCCAGGAGAGACACAAACTCTTAAATTTAAATACCCAAGCCCTAGACCAGGCTGGGTTCCAAAAATTCTCCAGGCTAGCTGACACAGGAATTCAGTCTGAAATCTTGGCCTGAAAGCTAAAGTTGGCCTTGGAGAGAGGCCCTTAGACCAGGGCCATCTTGTATCAACTACACATCTATAGGCCCCATGTGCCCAAACCTCAGAGGTGCCCCTGTATTGCAGGACAGGGTCCCTCATGTAGTCTGGTGGCCCCATATGCAGGGCAATATCTTTCAGGCATGATTAGGAACCACTAGGGCAGAGATACCCTTGACACCAATGCCTTTCCTGACCCCAGTATGTTATGCAACCCCGTACTGGGCTTCAGAGGCACAAAGAAGAAGCAGAGCCACCCTGCCCCACCAGGGACTGCAGTTACCGTTCAGGCTTCAGGGTGAAACGCACCCACCCAGAGATGTCACCAGGGCTTGGCTAAAGCAGAGCAGGATCCAAGGATGACACTGGCACCTGGGACAGGGTGGGAGAAGTCAGAAGAGCTAGGATGGAAGGAACCCTCCAGAGAGCTGGAGGAGGAGGAAATAGAGGCCTGGAGGCCAGTATGCAGCACAGAGCTCTCAGGGCCCATCTCATCCTGGAGGTGCAGTGAGCAGCGAAGTCTGGGGACTAAACAAGAGGGTGAGGAGGCTGCAGGAGGAATGAGTAGGCTGAATGTCAGTGAGCTTCTACCAAAGGATGAGTGTGGCTCCACTGCAGCTGGCCTGGGACAGACGTGCGGCACTCCAGCTGTGGGCCTCTCCAGGGATCAGAACCTTGGATCAGATGGACTCTCCCTTATTAGAAAGGGATGGGGCTGCTTTGGGTCAGGTAGAGCCCACTGGACACAGCACTGCAGCAGGCACTGGGCACCCACACAAACAACCACCCAGGCCATGTTGTCTTTCTGCTCCAAGCCAAGGTCCCCCTCTATTGGCAGGGCCAAGGCATAGTCCACCCTACCCACTCCAGCCCACTTTTGTCTGTTTCACGTTCCAGCCTAAGGAGCCGCCACCACCTCCGCCACCTCCACCACAGCCAGAGAAGGTGAGTTGGGTGGAGGAAGAGGGAAACACTGTCACACTTACCTTATGGGGCATCATGAAGCCTGAGCTCAGAATCCCTCACTACTTTGGCAATGAATAGGGAGGAATGCAGACCAATGATTATACCAGAAAGCCATGGGACTCAAGTTAATGTCACCTAGACAACACCATTACCAGACTTTCCCAATTATCAGGGTTTTGGTGACCTGCTCCAGCGTGCATAGCTGTCCATTGCTGAATTTGTGTTTTCCAGTGGATCCCATAATACTCTCTGTAGAAATGCCAAGGATGCAAATGGGTTTTTAGTTATAGGAGCTGCATGAGTCAGATCCAGGTCTCCATATCCAGGCTCAGAGCCTTTGGGGTTCTTTACATCTATCTCCATCACCTACTGGAAGGGCCAAGGGCTTCTCTGTGGTCAGTCTTGGAAGCCCAGGGCTGGGGAAGACGGAGGATATCGTAACTGGCTATCAGCTATAAGGACATCCCCAGCTGAGCACAGGGACCAGGATGGGGAAACAACTGTGCCTTCTTTGGGGTAGGGACTAGAAGAGGTAATGAAAGGCTGGAGCCAGCAGAACCTGGACCTGGGCCTGTGCTGGGGTGGGAACAGCTTTCCTATCCAATGGGACAGTGCTAACTACTGGGATCCCTGGGAGCCTGCCTCTGTACAGGCCAGGGCCTGGTGGAGGAGAGTGCCACCTGCCATTGCCCACCCTCTGCAAGCCTCCAGGTTAGGCTTCTGCTAGCAAGAGTGACCTCCTGAGAACCAAGAGCACAGAAGTGGACTGTTGGCATTCTGGGAAGCTCAATCTCTGAAAACCAGAAGGGCTTTGGTTACTCTTCTCAGGGAGGACCTCCCCAGGGTGTGGGTTACAGTCTTCCATTCACTCCACAAAATTACCTGACTGACCACCCCCCAGTGCAGGTGTATGTAAGGGAAGTGTGCCCAAGAAGCTGCAGGCAAGACACAGACCAACTCTTTTCACTTCCAGGAACCAGTAGAAGAGTGCCCACCCCCTCCTCCTACATCACCACCTGCTCCTCCTGCCCCTCCACCTCCATCACCTGTCAACCCAAACCCTACTGTGATCGTTGCCTGCTGTGGCTGTGGAAACAGACGGGTAAAGATGACTGGGGGTGGTCAGGCTGTGACCCTAGGCTTGGCTTGGGAAGGCAGGGCACAGTCAATCATCACTAAAGTGTGAGAGGGATCACTGAGTGTGGGAGGGATACAAGACATGTATCACTCTATGTCTGAGGGCACCAATGGCTAGAGGGGAGCAGCACACAGGAGGATTCTCCAAGAGCTTGCATCCCTCTTTTTGCAGTTTCCAGTTCCCTGGACATGGCCCCTGTGCCCTGTCTTGTTAGTCTCTAGTTGTCTCAGCCCTAGCAATGTCTTTGCTGTTGCCCTTAGTCTATGGATGAATGAGCCAAGATGTATTGGGTATATCTTGCAAGTTCAGATACAATAAAAACAGAAAATCCCGGTCATGAATTACCTTCTGTTCACCATGGTCAAATAAATGCTAGTGGCCCTGGTCATCCAGTACTAAAGCTCTTCATATACAAGTAGAAGGGCTTATCTGGTGGTTCTGGTGCACACTAAGGTGAGCAAAGTGTTACAAGATGGAGGTCTTGAGGGGCATCACAAGCTTCTTGTGTGGCGTTGAGCCCCAGGAGGCAAACAGCCATTCATCTGAAGCTCCTCCACCCGGGAGGCCCAGGCCACCCCAACAAAGGGGAAAAACAGACAGCAACCCCAGGCCCCAATATGAAGACACTATAGAAAGTAAGAAAGAGCCCCCAGATCCCTTGTGGCTTTGTAGTCTTCTCCCGGCCCTGCCGTGCCCTGCCCTGTCAGTGGTGGACCCATTGCTTCCTCCTGGAAGCTTCTAAGTCTTCTGAGATTGCCAAGAACATCTGAGAGCCATTCCTGCCCATTCCCTGCCAGTGAGCTACAAAGAAACCAACACAGGTCTCCTGAGAGGAAAATGGCCACCAGTGGCCTGATCTCTGTAGTTCGGCCCCCATCCATAGGGTCCAAGGGCTCTGAGCTGCAGGGCTGAGACCATGAAGGTCACTACAATTAGGTTCAGGGTTCTTCCGGCCTCCCCACCTGCCTTTACTCTACCCGGGCCCATGGCAGCTGACGGTGATTGAGACGTGGGCCTCTTGCCTGCCTGACCTATGTGACCCAAGCTCTGGCTTTTCCCTCTTCCCAGGCCTTCTACCCAGAGCCTTCACAGAGCTCATAGCTCCCCTGGAGGCCTCCTCTTGCCACCACACACCCCTCAAGCCGCTGAACTTCTCCAAAGAGCCTTTGTGTGTCCCACAGTGACCACTCCAGACACCCAAGTCTTTAAACTGGTCCCTCTTAGGAGAGGATGGGTTTTGACTTCTTGTATCCATGTTGACAGAGTTCTGTGGGCCCCAGTGTCTTTGGGGAGGGCAGTTCTCATGCCATCTTGTTTGTTCATGGTAACGTGTTTTTCAGGGAAACCTGGATGCATGCTGCAACTACTTTCACCCAAGCTGCCCTCAGATGCCATTGATATGTTGTCATCCCAATGTCCGGGTAAGCAAGACAGGGAAACTCGAAGGCACAGAATGACCACTGCTTTTGTATTTTAAACTTTCAGTGTTCTGGTTCCACAGTTTCATGTGAACCATGCACTGAAAAGGGTGGATTTTAACTGAGGCTGCTCCCTTCAGGATTTACTGTGCCTATCAAGTGGGGCCTGAATGCCCCTGCAGGGTGCAGAGTTAAGTGAATGTCAGCTAGTACCTGTAGCCCAAAGTAAGATGTCCCCTGCTACACTCTGTGCAGGGACAAATAAAGGCGTCAGCCAGAAACTGTTAAGGGCAGGGATTCAGCAGGGCTTCATTCAGCTGGAACCTAAAGCCTCCTGCAGGACAGTCTGAAGCACTAGGCTTGAATATGTACAATCAAACACTAGCCCAGCTCACTTGATAAGTTCAGACAGGTTTCTGCATGAAGGCACCCTGGGATGCTCCACCAGGCTGGTCTTCTGCCTGAGCAAGGAAGAACTGTCTAAGTGCCAACCCATTTAAGAACATCCTGGGGAAGGTAACCTCAGTCTAGCAGCAGGAAGTGGAGGCAGCAATCAGAGACCCTGCTCTCACCATCTCCCTCTACAGGCCACTTGAGTGTTCCCTGCCACCCTTCCTGAAGGCCCCTTCAGGCAAAGCCTCAACCAGGCCCTTTGTGGTGGGAACAAAAGCACAGGGATAGGATCCTGGTGGAACAGTGTGTGCCTCCCTGTCTGTGCCACCCAGTTGAAGGCTGTTCCTAAACTGCTGCTCCTGGGTGGGAGTGGCCTGCAAGCATGAGGACTTGAATGGGTCTCAGAAGTTAGTAAACCTGTGTGAGGGGGCCCGAACTTGGACTTGGGAGTGACTGCTTCCTAGAACCTCATCTAGCTGCTTGTTTGTTCCAGTGACTTCATATGCTTTTGCACCTCAATTAATCATAACCCAGGAAATTGTTTAGACATTTCGGTTTACTGAAAACCTGGGTGGGCATTTTTGTAGCGGAAGTAAGTGGTTTTGTTTGCTTTGGTCTTTCACAAAATGAATGTCTGCCCAATGGCCTTTGACTTCCCGAAGAAAACTGTCTAGTTGGCATCATCTCCTTCATAAATACATACAAAATCCAGTCCAGTTTGTGAATCTTGAGCCCAACCTGCTGTGGTCTGGGTTCTCTTCAGTCCGTGCTGTATCTCTGTGCCTGTTAAGATGATAGAAATCTGCCTGACATATCCTTAGACTGTGTCTATCTAAATGGAAGTTACAGTTTCTCTGAGGCAGTTGTGAGAATGAGATGAGGTCCAGTCTCCAAGTGGTGCCTGGGGGTGCACACAGGAAGATGAGTGAGTAGGGTTGGGGACATCCCATGATTATTGTAGGCACTCTGTTCAGGAGGACAGGGGAAGTTTCCCACACTGAGGCAGATTTCCATCATCTTTAATATCATCATCAACAAAACCGCTAACTCTGTTGTTGGAAGGAAACTAGAGACCCTGCAAAGTCAAAAAATCTTTCAGCAGTCATGGTCAGGAGTCAGCTAGACCAGCACCCTCCAGCCCATCGCCAGACCTTGTATTGCATGTGCACCTCCTTCTCTGTCCTGCTGTCTTCACAGCTTTGGAAACTGAGGCGCTGGCATTAGCTTAGGACTCAGCATAGCGAGGTTGTTGAGTGGTACAGCCAGGTTGTGAACTGTCCCTTCTGTTCCAGGCTCAATGCCAGGTATCATGGTGTCAGAGTGATCAACGGAAACATTTGGACAGTACATCTTACAATATAAAGTGTGATATATGCCAAGTGATTATGAATATTCATATCTCACAGGCCTTAAAGTAACTATTTAATGCCCAACGTTCAGAATGTTCACTTTTGTTCTTGAAGTTCACAAATAAACAAGATATGAAAGAGCCCAATTATTTACAGACACATGTAAACTAAGCAACATGGAAATGGGAATTTCCATAGCATCTTAACTATGCAGAGGAAACAAAATAATTAGACCTGTAAAGCCAAGAGGGAATTCACCAGAAACATGGTGAGGTTCTTTGGGGTTCTTGCAGACATGTTTTAAGTTCACATGAACCAGAAATAGAAATGGTCTCGAGGCAGATGCCCATTCTTTACAGCAATGTATTTCAAATAGCCAAGAAGAAAGGGACTTCTTATACCAAACTAATTACCAATCATAGAAATTCTCTGAAAATAATGATTTGGAGTACTGGGGCATTGCAAAGAGAATCCCACATTCCAGATCAGGCTTGTGCATATTACAAGAATAAAGGGAAACTTTAAAGGCAAAATTTGAAGGTTCACACGAGTCACTCTGAGACAATAACCTTTGGAATCATAAAAGAGTATTAAAGGGTCCAGAACAGAGGGCAACGGCACCAGTCCACACCTTTGAACCCATCATTAGTGGGTAGATGACCTTGTAGACAGATTTTTGTGTAAGTGATTTGAAAGGCAATCAATGTATCTTCAGGTGTCCGGGCTACAGGTTCCTATGGAGTTGTTGTATGTGTATACAGCCACTGGTGTGAAAACTTCGTGGTGATCTTTGGGAAATATGGTCCTAGCAGTGTTTTGTGATAATTTTCTAAATGAATGAAATTTTCTCCTTCATAAATACTCAGCTTTCCCTATTTTAATTTCAGTTTGTCTTAGGACTTGACACAAGTGACTCCATGTTGATTATTATTTGATTTGATTTGATTTGATTCAAAGAAGCATCAACAAGTCCAGCATAGCCAGTTGAGTCCTGATGTGTCCTGATTCCACCATCTTAAGTCAGACAGATAGATGCAGCCTTACAATGACATATATGTGACCTTCTGTTTTTCTCCTTCCTCTAGGGAATATGCCCCAGTGCAACTGTCATAAATCCCAGCTGCCTTCGTTCTAGCAGAGACTGTTTCCATCTCACACAACAACCATGCACCTCAAGGATTGTCCTGCAACCCAACAGAGAATGTTTCAACATCTCACAAGCACCCTGCAGCCAGAAGATCTATTTTACAGACAGCCCAGAATGTTTCCCTGTAGCACAGACTCTGTGCTCAAATGTGTGTCTACCAAATCAGGAGTGCTATACTCTCAACCACCCCCAGTCCCCATGCCTAACCAGGTCCACCAAGTCTCCCTCCAGGATACTACCTCTTCTTCCTCCCCATATCCGGCAATCTTTAGAATCCTTTTGTCACACCTCCCCTCGTTGCCAATCTTCTAAAGAATCAAAGTTCTAAGTTGAAGAGGCTTTTGTGTATTAATTGGACACTTGTACCAGGTGATAGGTTACAGTGAGAAAGCTCTGATTTGCTGCTGATAAGCATGCTCCACATCTAGGGAGATGCTCACTGTCTGGGGTGAGATGATGCTGCAGGTACCAGGCAAAAGCCCCCTCGTCCCACTTCCTACAAGTCTGTCTTCATGTATCTGCAAAGGCTGGGACCATTGGGATCTTCCAGGAAGGTCTCTATGAAATTTCCCCTCCCAATCTTTAAATACTCTCCTGAGGTTTCTTTCCCTAAGTTTTTGCAAAGAGAAGTTCTTGAATTTTTCATCTGGATTGCATGTTCCCAGTTTCCATTTACTAGATCCTTGAAATTTGAATGTGTCCTAGAAGGAAATGCAGGCCCTTCTGGAAGAAAGACTTCTCTTTCTAGATATGCCATGTACTGCCCACAGCCAAGAGAACCTCTGAACTTCACTGGATCAGGCAAACTCCCCCATGTGTCCTTTGAATCAGGCTTCAATAGGATTGAGTGTTACTGTGTTCAGCCACCCAGCACATACAGCATGTCTATATGATCCCACAGGGACCAGGTACACCAGCATGAGTGCCCAACAAGGGACCCCAGGATCCTCTGGAGACTCTCCAGGGAGGCCACACACAGGCTATCCAGTTGCCCCAAATCTTGATAATTAACTGGTAGCCTTCCACACTCCCCATTTCCCTGATAGGTATATTATACCCAGGCAGTGTAGTTGAATTTCCCATGCAAATACTGGTGGAAATATGCCACACCTTGTCTTGTAACTGGTACAGACTGAATCTGTGGATAATGATGGTTGCATCATCCTCCACGTTTCCAAAACAAAAGCTGTGCTGGAATACCTTGTGTTGTGTGAAGGGACCTATGTGGGCCTTTCTCTTGGTTACATAACTTGGACCTCCAAAGCACTCACTCAAGGGGCTTCTGTTTCTTAACTCTACCCCAGCTTCCCTGTCTTGTGCTGCCCTTGACTATCACAGCTTGCGCTGTGTACCTGAATGGGACCTGAGCCTCTCCCACCCTTTCAGTCCTCTCCTGTTTCCAACAGCTGTTTTCTACTCTCAATCGAACATCTCCTATGGGAGGAATAAGGGCAAATTGGAACAGAGGTTGCTGGTGACAAGGTGTGAACTCAGATACTCATGACCCTCTCCTATTGCAAAAGACCTGTGCTGCAGCAAGACTGTGACAGGATAGTTGGAGCACAGCAGGCTGGGTTGAGCCTTAATGACCAGGCCTTCTGCCTGTACCCAGGGTTCTCTCACTACCCTGTGGGGGCCTGCCATGAGCAGTCAGACAGAAGTTGTTACATTTATCAAAGTGGTTCAGCTAGAACCTCCAGAGTGTAGATGTGGCTTTAGTTTATAGAACATTCTTTCTCAATGCTTGACCCTCAGCCTGGAAGCTAAGGGATGTCATAGCAGAACCTAGGAGTGTCTTGTCCACCTAGACTTGTCCTTAGTCTGCCTATGTGTCTGAGACGTCAAAAATGAGTCATGGTATCCTTGCCAGTGTTTTGTGAGTTTGCCTGTTGCCTCCCTCACAATGGGGAAGGAAATGACCCTCTGCTCTGAGCATCGATGAGTGCTTTCCCAAAGCCTTGTAGTCTTTAAGAGGAGGAGCCAGGAATCAGTGCAAAGATGCTGCACGCAAATACATGCTGAGGACTCTGCCCTTCTCCCCAAGGATGGAAGACTTCTCCTGGGCTGTATGGCTCAGGACCTCCTCAGTGCTTTGTATAATTTCTCATCTTGGACTCCTGTTTGGACTTCTTGAAACCAGGAGTGTCCCTCCCACCCCTGGCAGTGACAGTGTGGTGTCCCTCTACAAGCACATTGCACAAGCATAACTTCACAGTCAACTGGAGCTCATGCTCACACACAGCTGAGGTCTCGGTGCTGTTGCCCATCCCTTTGTCTCTGCACCATTATTGTCCCTGGATGTAGAAGTCTGGATGGCAGAAAGGAACTCATAAGGTATCTACTAAAAGCCCCTTCCCTCTCCTCTCCTCTCCTCTCTCTCTCTCTCCTCTCTCTCTCTCCTCTCTCTCTCTCCTCTCTCTCTCTCCTCTCTCTCTCATCTCTCTCTCTCCTCTCTCTCTCTCTCTCTCTCTCTCTCTCTCTCTCTCTCTCTCTCTCTCCTCTCTCTCCTCTCTCTCTCCTTCCTCCTCCTCCTTTCTCTCTCCATTTCTCCCTCTTCCTCCTCCTCCTTCCCTCCTTTCCCCCTTCCCTTCATTCCCATCACTTTTTCTTCTCCCCAAGCAGGCAGGTATGTTTGTTGTGTTTATTTGTTAGGATTCTTCAGACAAGCAAAAGTAATGGTTCAGCATGGGGTATATAAGAAGAGTGTGGCAACACTAACAGACAGGCTCATAAGGTTACAGAGAGGGAGAAGTCCTGTGTCTGCCCTGGGGAGGAGAGAGAGAACAGAAAGTCCAGCCAGTCTACGATGAGGTCTCAATGTGTCCTATCCCCCTAAAATACTTGTATGGAAATCCCTATCCTCATAGCATGACACAAGACTGAAGAGGGTGCCCAGGTCACAAGAGCAGAGCCCCATCAGTTGGATTCATCTGTCATATGAGAACACAGCCAGAGACACTACCAAGAGTCACAGAACTGATTCACCAGACACTAGTCTGCCTCAGCCTTAGACTTCACCCTCCTGAGCTGAGTGAGTAGTAAATTGCAATTGTATGTGAGCCACAAGGTTTATGATAGCTTATCATAGCTTCCAGAATGATCAGACCCAATGGAAACTCATAGGCCTAGGGTGACCTCTGTCTATCTTCCCAGACTGAAGCTTCTGAAATGTGGCAATGTCTCTGAATGGTGGGTTGGTGAAGGGAGGCAGATTTCAGGGGTCACAGAAAAGTCATCTACATTTTAACAGTACAACAGGGTAGCTAAGTTGTGACCAGGCCCAGAGACCCAGCCCTATGTAGCTACAGCTACCTCAACTGAAATATCCATGCAGACTGGACACTTGTTGACATGAGGACAGCATCCATGACAGCTGACTGGTGCTTTCAAGTTTGCCCAACACTTGAAGAAGAGGGTCCCCAGGTGAATTATAAAGAACTCTATCTTGAATCTATTGGGTAACACAGAAAGCTTGCTAAAACTCCACAGGTCACTTCAAAAGGCACCCCCAACTGGAAGGTGAATATCTCCCTTGTCAGCCAGAGAATGCCCATGGGAATGGGGGGTTGGTTTTAAGATGTGGCCACAGACTGAGCAGGTGTCTTCAAAGCGGTCTTTGCTGTGGTGATGAACCTGACCCACAGTCTCCCCGTGAGTGAGCCCCGTTATTCCACATACTTCATTCCTATTCTCTCCCACCCACCTTTCTTGAGATCTCCAGGAAATTGAGAGCTGTGTGGACAAAAAGATCCCACCAGCATGCACCCATCCAAGATTAGTCTCTTCCATCAGAGTTCCCCAGATGCCTGCCGTCCCCATCCTACAACCTGGGCCTACAAGAATAGGGCTTGGTGCAGGCAGTGGGGAAACAGAGGTCCACCAATTATGTTCCAATAGCCAGGGGCTTCTGGATGAACTCACAGAGACTGTGGCAGAGCAAACGAGGCCTGCACAAGTTCAAGCCAGACAAGGTTTCAGCACTGAAAGGGGGACTTGGACAGAGGCTCCCATCTCTAAGATGATATCTGTAATGATAACCACTGGCAAAGGAAAAATCATCTTTCTCCAATGGAATCTCACTGTGTATTAACACACTTTGGGGAAGGCTACATGTCCAAGAGTACTTGGCAAATACAAAACAAACTCAATGGTATTTTTGTACTTTTTTTTTTTTATCTTATTGGTCTTTCGCTTGCTTATTTCTGTTTTGTGGTTGTGTGTGTGTGTGTGTGTGTGTGTGTGTGTGTGTGTGTGGTTTGGGTTTTTATTTTGTTTAAGAGAAAATGAAATGAAGCTTGGCAGGTAAGGAAGCCGGAAGGATCTGGTAAGAATTGGGTGAGGGGAAAACATGATAAAAATACACCGTATGAAAAAATTCAATTAAAAAAAGAAAAGAAACACGGGTCTATGGTGTCAACAGCATCGCTGCTGTACTGTTTCCTGGGCTTCCTCGAAGGAGTACCTCAGACCAGTACCCTGACAACAGAGCTTTCTCCGGAGGCCTGACATCTCAGACCAAGCTGTGTCCATCAGTTTCCTGTCACATGTCAAATGTATGATGTCACAGTGCTTGGGGTCCAGCCGCTCAGGCCAGGCTACCAGGTTATGAAAGGAGGCACACTGTCCCGTGCACAAATGACGGAGTAATGACTCTGGAATCATGATCCCTGTGGCAGTTTGGCAAGAACAAGGACACTAAGGCTAGAAGGTCAAAGTTCAGCTCAGGAGCCTGGAATTAACTCAAGAGTCTCAAACTCAGAGATGTAATCCCCTGTGATTAAAATTCCTGCAACTATCTTCCCTGTTTTGCTGTTGTCTGAGGGTGAGTTGAGCATCTCAGGAAGGGATCCCAAGGCTCGGTTTATGAGGTGGATACAGGCTACATCTGTGGAAGTTGTGCCATGGGGATAAAGGGGACTGCAAATACCCTGTACACCCCACATCCCTGCCTAGGGCTATCCTGCCTTGGCAACCTCATACCTTCGTCATTCTGAGACCTGGTGGATGAGGGTGAGGGAGCCCATGTAAATGCTACACTATTCCAGAAGATGGCGCCCAAAGATTACATTTGTCCACTAAGCAGCTCTTGGAATTCTAAGGACCAAGCACAAGGCAGACTTTTGGCTCATCGTTAGCTGACTTTGTACTACATTTCTAATTCTACGTTCCCATCCTGGAGAGTCTGAAGATGCCTGTAGCGGCACCCTGCATTACCCTAAGTCCACAGTGCATCCCCAAGCCACAAAGCTCCCAGCCAAACTTCCTGCTTTGAATAGAGGAGCCACAGCTGGGCTCCCTGAGCCAGCCAGCCAGCTCTCCCTGCTCTAG